CTGGCTTGTCACCACAGAGCGGGGCTGGGACGGGCACCGGTCCCTTCCCAGCATCGGGGCCGGACGCGACTGTGAGACAGAGGGGGTCTGTCTGTGGGGACGAAGGGCGGGATAAAGGCGGGGGGAGCGATGCAGCAGAGTCAAGCGCTCGCTGGGTTTTACTCCGGGAAGGGAGGTAAGAGCCAGGAGCATCCCAAGCGTATCCGGGGTGAGGAGAGGGGGCGAGATGGGTCAGGTGCTAAAATGGGGTCAGAGCAGGAAAAAAGGAAAGAATTGAATGAAGTATCGGGCAGCACTTCCTTGGGTGAGCGCTAACAGGCAGGGCGAGGACACGCGCGTGCCCTTCAGCCGCTGGGTTTTACTCCGGGAAGGGAGGTAAGAGCCAGGAGCATCCCAAGCGTATCCGGGGTGAGGAGAGGGGGCGAGATGGGTCAGGTGCTAAAATGGGGTCAGAGCAGGAAAAAAGGAAAGAATTGAATGAAGTATCGGGCAGCACTTCCTTGGGTGAGCGCTAACAGGCAGGGCGAGGACACGCGCGTGCCCTTCAGCATCGAACTAGTCCCGGGGTCAAATGCGCAGCTGGAGGGTGCCACGGTGGATGCAAGGAGTGAAAAGGTTCCCGGTTTTCTTGGGAAAAGGAGGAGCGGGGAGAGCCTGAAACGTCGCAGAGGAGGACTTACAAGTGGTTGCCCAGCATGTTCCTCTTCGTGGCCCCCAGGAAGCTCATGAGGCCGGGGTCCGAATGCTCGTCTCCCACCATGGTGGGGCCGACCTCCTGCAGGGAAAGGCAGCAGAGCAGGTGAGTGATGTGGGGCAGCACGGCCGCCCCCTCCCCGCGCCCGGCACAGCTCCAGTAAGAGCTTTACTGGGGAGGCAATTACTGGGAGCCGCCCGCCCACCGTCCCAGGAGAGGACCTTGGTGGCTTTGCTCCTGGAGGGCCACCTGCTGGCTGAGCTCTCGGGGGCTCTGCTCCTCCGGGATCCGCCACCGGGAAGGCTGTAGGGCGGCAACCGGGTGCTGCTCACGGCCTCATGCTGCAAAACCAGCGAATCCGTGTGTTTTACCAGAAAATGAGCATCCCCGGGCCAGTGAGGGACCTTCTGCCTGTCCCGGTAGGAGACAGCTTTGGGAACGGCGCGGCTGACTGGGAAGGGTGAGAAGAGGGGGGTGAGAAGGTGTCCCGGAGTGCCCGGGGCAGGTGAGCACCCATGGGAGGTGGGGACAGTCACGCACCCTCGGAAGCGACAGGGGACCGGAGGAGCTGCGGGGAGGCAGGCGGAGACGTGAGTCATCTCCCCACCGGAGCCACCGGGTGGACTTCCCACACGGCGTATGTGGGGGGACGGGGACGTTTCTGTACGCTGCTCCGAAAGTGTTATTTTTATGAGATATTCCCGGGCTGGAGGTTTTCCAGAACTAAGTATAAGGGCACGGCAGATAACGCAGCACCGATGTGACCTTCGGTTTTAATTGGCGGAGCAATCGTTCCCTTATAAATCTCCTCCGCACTCCCGGGGAGAAGTTTGCAGGTGGAAACTCTTCTCCTGAGGGATGTCCCCCATCCGCTGGCAAACCCACATCACACCATTATCGGCACTTTATAGTACGCAAAGGGCTGCTCAGCCCTAAACAACCTCAGAAAGTATCACCCAGACCGTTTTTGACCCCCCTCTTCTCCATCGCCCCGTGGAGAAAGCGAAGCCCAAGGGCAGGACACGGGTCCCGGAGCCTCAAAGGGAGGTTGCACGGGGAGGTGTGCGGGCTCCACGTCACCCCCCGGTGCGAAGCCCTCGCTCCTGGGGCGGCCGTGCGCCCCGACCCGCGGGGAGTTTGGGAAGAGTCTGTCGGGGGAGAGAGCAGAGCGTTCCCGTGGGGCTGGGAGAGCCGCGGTGTGGGGAAAGCGGACCGGCGCCGGCAAACCGCGTGTCTGACGGGAGCCTCAGTCAGACCCCAACTGGAAGCGGCACCGATGGAAGGTTTTGGGGAGCGGGGCACACGCCAGGCACGCTCAGCTGCCTGGGGAAGGGCGAAGCGGAGGCAGAGGATGAGCGTTCTCCGCTCGCTGCCCCCCCGCAGCCCCCT